CCTATTGATGTGTGAATAGCATTTATTAGTTGTACCAAATGCTTTCTGTTAAAACAAACGGGAAAACAGACAAAAACGCAACTCACGTCCCTCTCCATTTTACCTCCAAAATACTTAGAGGGTTAAGAACTAAGGAACCTCCCTCCAAATCTAGACACACAAACCACACATTTTACAAGAATGTAGAAGGACCTGGCTGATTCACTTTTCAACCTTGAAAAATGGGGCCTATTAACAAAGCACACAAAGTGAGTCAGCTGTTTAGGATGATCTACAAGCCAGTTCATTTTCCTGTTATTAAATAACAAACCATGACTCTCGACAAATGAAACCACTAGTTTGACATTATTTGAAAAACTCATAACACCCTTGCTTCTGATGGTCCCTTCGCCTTTGACATTAAATTTTAAGATGGACTTTATTTAAATTCTGGAAGAGGGACAGGGCTCGTTAACCTTCACTTTGACTGTACGCTGTTTATCATTATCATTCTCTTCTCCCCGCTTATACTAGAGCGCCATCCTCCAGGGTTCACCGCAAAGGAAGCTGGCTGTATTCACTGGCGCCAGTATCATGAAGAGGGGAAGTTCCGTAGCGTTGTAGGGGACTGCATGGCTTCTGGAGCTAGGCTCCCTCCGTTCAAACTGGTGCTCCAGTCTTGTGACCTTGAGAGGGTCATTTGCCCTTTCTGTCTCTCAGTGCTCATTTGTAAACTGAGAATCATATACTTTGCCTCGTTACGCTGTTATGAAGATAACATATAAAATGCTTAGCAAGCGCACAAGAAATGTTACCTCTAATTATTAGAATCATGAGCTTAAGAATAACATTGTCCAAAATGGATGCCAAGCCATTTTACTTAATTTCCTAAAGAGGATACTGGTACTGATCCGCTGACAGCAGCCCTAACATGTGGTTAAGAGGGCTTTAGCCTCTATCCCGTAATTCCTATCTGACCTTCCCAGTGATGCCACCACGAATAAACATCTAAAAAAACCCTGCATACTTGCCAAGCACATGCGGCTTCCAGAGAAGCCCTCTACTTCTCTCCTTCAATCTGGGTGCCATCCCAAGCCCCTCTTCTGAAAACCTGCTGTTTCTACTGGTTCTGACCAACAGATGCTGCAAATCATAGGAGCCCTTGCCCTGTTACAACACAGTGTTCCTGTGCTCAGTAGCCCCAGGCTATAAGTCCTCACCACTTCTAAATAGTGTTTATAAAGTGTGATTTCGAGCAATATAGCAAAGTCAATTTTCTCTGAAGGAAAACATTTTTTTTTACTAACATTTTAAAATTTCTTTCTCAGTGTCCCACAATGATTTAAAAGCTAATCAATAATAAATTTCCAAATTTTTCTAAAGACAAAGAATTGAGAAAGGAATTGGCCCTTTTTAACTACTTTTAATCAGGAAAGTGGCTGCTGTGACCTATTAACCCCTAAAGATTATTGATGCTCTTTTTTTTTTCTTTGTCTTTTTTTTTTTTTTAATGCTGTAGTTTGGTCATTTGTCTTTGGCAGCCAGAGCATACAACATCTCTTTTGCTTTTTACAAATTAATTCATTTAAGGCTGTGCATTTGTCAGACATGCCGGGAATCATCTGCCAACATTTTGTTGATTAAAGGACGTGCATTTTGAAAACGGGTGTAGAGGAAGGATTTATAATTCTTAAAACCAAAGAATGATTTACAATGCAGACTTCTACCTGAATCATTCACTGTATCATAAACAGATAAATGAAATATTAGGGATTAGCAGGAGTGTTGGCACTGGCTCTTAAAATCTGTGGATTAATTGGTTCAATAACACTGAGAAGGTCTACCTCTTTCAGCAGAATTTCTAGAACTCACAAACAAGAATATGACATAGTAAACCACCTTTGATTATGCATTTTTTTCAAAGGGCTTTTGCAATACATCATTTCTCCACAGCAGTCTGTTGCTTCCACTTCTATTTATAAATGATATACCTGGTTTCCATGCCCACAAGTTTTCTTTACTCATCCCAGCTTTGTTTTGTTTTGTTTTAGGTTTTTCCCATTGAATACATTGGACCCTTTGGAGGGCACATTTATTGTTTTAGGCACCATGCAATTTACTAAATGGTGTTTCAGTTATGGAAATTCTTGCAAAGTCCCTTGGGGGAAACAAAAGAATTAAGTGAACACATATTGATCATCCTGTAGTTAGTACTTTCTTACTTGATCAGTCAAGGGCTCAGTCTGCACTGTTCCAGGTGATCTGTGATATATAAAACTGGAGACATTTTTCTGGCTCTCTGGTGGTTTAAAAAGCTAGGCAGTAGGAACAACTGCTTTAAACAAAGCCTCATTTTAAAAGAAGCCTGAGTACAAATGGAATTCAAAGAATTTAGAGGGAGTGGAGGTGAAAATTTTTAAAATAAAATAAAAGTAAAGAACAGCTTTAAAGAAAACCCTGGGAAATTTAAGAGAATAAAGCACATAGGAAGTAAAAGATAAATCCCATCTGTCCCACTGTGAGACATAGAGACCAGGTGCTCCTTCAGCCAGGATGTAGTGAACACCTACTAAGTGCAGGGCTTGTCAATAGGTAGACCTTCAGTGTTATGGGGTTTCCCAGGAGCAAAACAGAATTCTTAGATCAAGAAGAAATTGCTTTTTTTCATGCCAGCCAAGAAACTCTATGTGGATATTAAATCCCAAAAAGCAATTGATAGATGCCATTTTATTGAAATATTGAGAACAGAAAGTATTCATCTGTGTAATTCATTTTAAAATTCTACATTAAAAATGTTGGTAAGAAATGAAGTAATACTAAAGAAAAGGTTGAGAAAATGCTGATTTCAAACAAGGGAGTTGGAGGCTCTAGGTTTTGCTCCTGTCGTTTCTGCTCTGTCACCTCCCCGTTCCTTAAACAAACTGCGTAATCCATCCTTGACCAGTTTGCATTTGCATTCGACTATTCTGCCTCCTTCTTCCCACCTTCCACTGCCCTCAGTTAATAAGAGGAAAGCCTGAAGGAAGGATGCCAGATGGGAAGCATGAAGTCCTTGACGTATGAGGGGGTCCAGACTCTGGCCTAGGGAAACAGTGAAAATTCAGAGGAAACGATGATTCTAGAAACCCCTCGGAGATTTTTTTGGCTGACTGTGTTTTGATATTTAGCATTAGAGGGCAGATGAAACTAACAGCAAGTTTTCTAGAATGGGGGCTAGAAGAAATGGCAGCCGCACAGGAAGAAGTGGGGTAATTGTGATGGGTGGCTGGTGTGACAAATTGTGAGATGAGAGAGCAGATAGAACGAGTTGCATTTTGACAAACTGCATCTAAGAGGCATTGCCTTAGAATCAGTTGGAAATATGGACTGGGGAAAATCTGAAACTCTGGAAAGATGTGTAAAACAGACTATTATAGTAAGAAACAAGCCTGGAAATGGGTAAAACGGGGTCTCTTGTCTCTATGGGCTAAATGCTGTGTTTATTCAACTTTTATTGTGTACAATGTAGCCTAAGTATTTGTTAAGCATATCCTTGCTGTTTGGTAAGCACACACCTCCCACCCCTGATAGAACAACTATTGAGTCTTCAGGTTAAAACTCAGCCAAACATTTCCCCACTGGAATCCTGACGATCCTGTTCATTGTGTCTTTAGGAAACATTCTGGGGTATAGTTGAGACTATCTGGTATATTTATATAGACTCACATCACTGGCGACACATATATGAACCATACATATCATCATTAGTATCATTATTGCATTTGTGTTATTCCTTTAAACACTTATTGCATGCTTACTAATTTCCAGGAACCATTTTGTTTGCTTTAGCTCATTGAGTTCTGGTAAACACTCTATGACATAGGAGAGTACTATTTTTTATCCTCCTCATAGTAATAAAGATGTTGAATCTCAGAGAGGTTAAGGCACCATGCGAAGGTCACACAGGCAATCAGAGATGCAGCAGGGATTCAAACCCATACAGTCAGTGCCATTTTAGAACTTTTGAAGAGATGCCTGTATGAAAATGAAATAAAGTATAATGAGTAATATAGCTACTGATGTTGACATGGATAATTAGAAAGAACCTCACATCGTATATTCCAAGTTGCTGGGGGTCATTTTATTGTTTCCATTTTGTGGGAAAATAGTGTGACAGGTTATAGCAGTGGTTCTCTACTGAGGGAGACTTTCTCCACAGGGGAAATTTGGCAGTGTGTGCAAGCACTTTTGGTTGTCACAACTGGGGGATGGGGGTACTAGGGTCTGGTGGGTAAAGGCTGCCACCTGCCCTACAATGAATGGGACAGCTCCCACAATAAAGACTTATCCAGTCCCAGTGGTTAGTACAGCCTAGGCTGAGACCTTGGGCTGGAATAATTTAAAGGGGGTCTTGCCTACAGGGAGAGAATGGTGTCCCAGTGTTGCTAACAATGGGCATTCACCATGAAGAAGCAGGTTTGGAAATGGGGAAAAGAGAGAAGATAGATCCATTCATTTGTTTGTTTATTCATAGACTCACCATTTACAGAGGGATTTCTACGTGTCAGGAATTGTGCTGGAGACTAACGCTGAGGGGAAACAATATGAGGAAGTTGCTTTGGAGAAAAGGAGGAAACAAGGAGTAGAGGCAGAGCGGAGATGCTTGGCTATTGAAAGTGAGCTGGGGCAAAACTTTGGTGCCAGGCGTGAACTGTGTTCTTTGGTCAGAGATGGAGAAAACATGCTACTTTACAGCTCTAAGGAAAATCATAGTGGACAAACTCAGAAGCCATACATGTCAGGAGCACCAGGGGACTTCTTGTTGTATCATTTATGGCTAACATGCTGATCCAAATGCCAGGGCAGGGCCGGTGGGGGGCAGCCGATGATGCTCTCAGAAGTACGCAGAGTAGCGATACAAGTATGTGTGTGCGTGTGTGCGTTGAAGAGCCCGAGAGGCTTGCATTGCTTTCGAGGTGCTCTGCTGGCCTGTGAATAGGTGCTGGCTTTGTTTTTCCAGTAACAGCCTTTTCTGTTTTCAGCAGTCCTATGCACCAGCTCCCCACCCCATGGCTCCTCCCAGCCCCAGCACAAACAGCAGCAGCAACCACAGCAGCAACCACAGCAGCGGGGAGCAGCTGAGTAAAACCAACCTGTACATCCGAGGCCTTCCGCCAGGCACCACTGACCAGGACCTAATCAAGCTGTGCCAACCGTAAGTGCTCTCTTCTCTCTGCACCGTTTCTAGCCCACACGCTCACCCATGTGGGCTCAGTCCACACAGCACTCGGTTGGTTGGTGTTGCACCCGATGTGCCCATTCATTGCTGTCTCAGCGAGGTGGACTCTGTTGAATGAATGGGACAGAAATTGGGGATCTAAGTCCAGCTTCCTTTAGGGAATGAAATTTGCTTATGGTATAGAAGTGGAGGTTCTGAGCAGATAAACATGGGGCTGCTGGCTGATATGCATGCATTGACCAGAAAGATGAGCAAGCTTTGAGTTGGGCCTGTGAACTTTGTAGCTGGTGGAATCAATGATGAATCTCCTGGGGAAAAACAACAACAACAACAACAAAACCTTGTGTTTTTGTTTTGTTTTGTTTGTTTTTGAGACATCATAATGGGGGGAATCTCAAAAACTCAGAAGTGCTAGATTTAAGGATGGTTACCTCTTGTGTTGAAAAGATTTTTCTGGCCAGTTCTTGGTAAATATTAGCTCAATGGGCTCAAGGTAAATGGAGAATTATAAGGCAAATTCTCTGGTTTCCTTGAAAATATCTACTTCCCAGTCCAGTGAAGCTATTTGCCACCCAGGCCAAGAGCTGTATTCACCAAATAGTTTCATATTTTCTAGGAAATGTGGTAATGATTAATGCCCTTCCAAAATGTTTTCATTATCCTATTATCTACCAACACTTATGTTACTAACTCTCCTATTTTTGTGAAAATGCATTTAACCTATTTACGTTTACCCTCCAAATAAAATTAATAATGCCTAATGAATTAGAACCATAGACCTATATTTTTTAGATTGTTGTCTGATGATTTTCAAAGTAATATCAGTCCAGCTATTTGTCATTTGATCGTGCCTTAGCTGGGTATTTTTAAATTGGGGAAACTATTACTCAATTTTCCTTTCTCTCTTTTGCAATGCTTTTACAAGGAAGTTGGGAGGATATTTATTTTGTAAAATTTCCAACCTCTAGAATATTGGAAGGGGAAAACAAAGCAGACAGTATTTATTTGCCTTTGTTCCGGTTTTTAAAATTGGGAACAAATAGCAGAACAACAGGAAGTGGCAGATAAACCAAAACACAAATACGTGACTATATAATCAGTTGACAAGGCGGTATGTGGGTAAGAGTGGGGGCGTTTTGAAAAATATTTATTGAGAAGCAGTTTTTTTTTTGTTTTTTTTTTAAAGAATGAATTATACAAGGGCTAAGACGACATTTCAAATATACGTTAGGTTTTGGTCTATAAAATGTTGAGGTTGAGAATTGGAAGGTAAATCATTCTGCTCTTTTTCTGTTGCTGCTGTTAGAAAGTAATCTAAACCATTTTGAGTAGTAAGGTCTTCAAAACGTGAAAGATTGCGGACTTTACATTAGAAGCTTCAGATGAAGTATCTCCTGTAATAGACTCTGATGTGAAAAAGAAAGGTAGCTATTAACTGTGATAGGTATATAAATCTCATTCATTAAAATATATATATATATATATATATATATATCCGTGGGTATTAAGGGAAGATTCTTTCCCATTCCACTATACTACTCAGAGTATTTGTTGAAACATAGATTTCTTGGCCTAAGAGATTATGATTCACTAGGTCTGGGGTGGAGCTCAAGAGTATGCATTTCTAACAGGCTCCCTGGTGTTAGTGCTGCTGGCTTTTGAGATGCATGTCTCTCTACAATAATTTGAAGACCACTGAAAGTTTCTAATGCATAAAGTTTCACTTAAAATATGAGGGTCATTTCACTTAATATATGAGGGACCCTGGTGTGTTACAACCTTCTCAGCCACTGTGCAAACTTGAGGTAGGTCTTTGACTCTCTGAGCCTCAGTTTCCTCTTATAAAAGAGTGGGTTGAACTTGATTATGTCTAGGTTTCCCTGTAGTATCAGTGGTGTGCTGGAGGTGCCTCTGACTAGAGCCAAGTGGTAAATATTCAGGAATTCGGTGAGTGATTTGTTACAGACTCGGTATCTTAAAATCAGCCGTGGTGGGAATATGTATATCACAGAAATAAGCAAGTTCTTCAAATCAGGGCTTTTTAAAAATTCTATTATTATTATTATTATTAATTATTATTACTATTATTATTGGAGAACTGGCTTATGAACATACCACTGATGTAGCATTATACTATGAATTTCTGTATCAGTGTCTATTTCTGCGAAGAATCTTGCCAGAAATGTATAAATGGAAAGCATTACCTAAATGCCTATGTTGGCATGTTTAATTCAGGAAAGAGATTTAGTGACATAGACACGTTATTTTTGAGAAAAGAAGTTTTGTTACAATTTCTTATGTGCATTAGAGAAATTTAAAGAATGCTAAGTGCACAGAGGGTACTGGTTACTTGTTCATATTAATTTTTGCTAGTTAATAAGATGTGGCCTGTATTATTGTAATTGTAAAAATGTCTGTGGGTTCTCCAGTTACCGAAATGGTCTGCGCCTAGGGTTTATTGGTTAGATTAATATTCCTAGAGAATCTTACAGAACTAATGTGATCTTGCAATGGGATGCAGTGGAAATAGCTGAGCACTAAGAGGTCTGGATGTCCGTCCTGGCTGTGCCATCACCTGGGTAGTGGCCTTAGACAAATGACTTGTCCCTTCATCACTTTGATTTCCCCCATGTGTAAAATAATGTGTTTGAACTCAATAATCTTTCAAATTTCCTTCACCCTAAAATTCTGCTCTGGGCCACCTTTTAGATCATTCACTGATCCCCTTTTGCAGTGTTGGCAGGGCCACATCCTAAATTGATTCAGTTGCATGAGTACAACCTGAGGGCTGGAGATGCCTTTGGTACAAGACCAATGTAGGTCATTTGTAAAATCCTGTTTCCTCTTTTGTAGTTGGACTCTTACATTGTTCATTACTAGTTTACATTAGCAGTCTTCTAAAGATGCAAATTATTTTGCATTCCAATTACTCATCTAATACTTTAAAATAATTTCACCTTCCAAACAGATAATATTTATAGGTTTAATGAACTTGTCATCAGGATCAATTTTCCATGTTTATTCTTATTAAATTATAAGTATTTTAGACTTATTTCCTTATAGAAAATGCTGTATTTGCTCATATCCATAGTAACAGAATGATAGAAAACAGAAATGTACAAAAAGGAGTATAGATATATCAAATTATCTGATTTTAGAATACAATATCCATATTAATACTTATGAACAACAAGAAAATGATATTAAAGAACATAAATTTACATCACTTCTCAATGTGTAATCTGAGAGCAAATTCTGCTAAGGGAGTCTATTCACGTTAATCACCGAAGCTCCTATGTTTGGATTGCGAGTAAAATCAAAGAAGTGAAGACAAGACTGAAAAATAATAGACATGAAAAATGATTTTCCTCTATGAAAAATCTCTAGTCATACCTACGTTTTGGATAAATACATTAAATTGTGTGTCTTGTAGGAAGCACCTTGTAATATCTTCATCTTGAGAGTTCTCAAGGTATTTTATTGTGTTCTCAATCAAGAAATATTTACAGAGCATGTGTGCTGCATGCCAGATACTGGGCTGAAGATGCAGCGGTGAGTAAATTTAGACAAAGGCTTCGATTTAGCAGAGCTAATATTCTGCTAGGGGAAATAGGACATCAATTAAATAATCATGATTTGATATAAAATTGCAATTATGAATGCAAGAAAATAAAGGAGCATGGAACTTGGGATTATACCTAGGTAGGGGAATGAGTAAAGGTATCTGTGAGGAATCTGTGACATGTGAACTAAGATCAGAAGGAGGAATAGGTTGGAATAAGTGAGGAAGGAAGGGAAGAATAGTCCAGGCAGTAGGAACTTCATGTGTGTAGAGCCAGTGGCTGGAGGGAGAGTGGCAAAGATGAAGGGCTGACAAAAAGGCCAATCTGGTTCATAACAGAGAGATGGAGTTGGATATGGGGCAGCAGGAGCTGGAAACATGGAGGATAAGATGACCCCTTTCTAGGTCATGTGAGGAGCTCTGTTTTAACCTAAGAGCCGTAGAGGAAACCACTGAGTTGTCACATACAGGAAGGTAATATAATTGGAATTTATTTCAGAAAGATAACTCCAACTGCAGAATGGAAAGAAAGGATCCTGTGAGATCAAGGAATAATCAGAGTAGGAATAGGTGAAAAGCAAGCTGGGGGAAGAGTAATTTATGGACAGAGAAGAGGCATGAGAATTAATAATTATGGTGGTAGAACATTATATGTGGTGCATAATGTCTTTTTTTTATGTGCATTTATTTTTCCATTAAAAAACAAGGAATTGAGAGACAATGAACCAAATGGACTCCAAAAGAAACAGTGAAGTAATACAAGATAGGACCCAAATCAGTTGGTCTTTAGTCTCTTTTTCTTACCCAGTCATGAATGTGTCATCAATATGCTATTAAACATTGAGTGGCTGCAATATTAAAAGTACTAAAGGCAAATATAGTGGACCCTTGAACAACATGGGCTTAGGGGCACTGATTCCCCCATGCAGTCAAATATCTGACTCCCCAAAAAGTTAACTGATCATAAGTAAAATACATTTATAGAACTGTATGTATTTATCAATACCATAAGTTTATGTCCTCTGTTTACAAGATACATTGTCTGTCAGCATTTGCAACAATATTGTCTCATATGATACAAAACACTGTAGATATGATATGTATTACTAACAGTAGATGTGAAAAATGAAAAGATAATATGAAAAAGAAATGCATTTTTGTTTACAGGTGTAACGAATTATGCATTGATAACCAAGAAGCAGCAGTATGATTCCTTTATGGTAGCTTAGTGTAATTGGTACAATTGCTTCAATGGTAATAAGAAAATCTCCAAAAAAATTTTACAACATATTTATTGAAAAAATTCCCTGAACAAGTGGACCTGTGCAGTTCAAAGTCATGTCATTCAAGGGTCAACTGTATAATGTAAACTAAAACTCCAGTTGATTATACAGTTATGTTCATGATATGGGTG